TCCTCCTCCTCCTCCTCCCCCTCCTCTTCTTCTGGCCAAGTCCCTGCAGTTTTCTTGGCAAGATTTCAGAAGTGGTTTGCCATTGCTTTCTTCTTCCTAGGGCTGACAGAGAGTGACTGGCCTAAAGTCGGCAAGATGGCTTTGTGCCCAAGGCAGGACTAGAACTCACGGTCTCCTGTTTTGTAGCCTGGTGTAACTACTACATCAAACTGGCTTTCCAACAATGTTCTTACAAGCTTGGAAACAACAGCTTTGTTTCAGAGTAGAAGTCCAGATGTAGAGAGGTGGGGACAACCTAGGATGTTTTTTCCAAGATCTCTGTGCTGCACCTGCCTCCTCTGGAGCTGACTTGCCATGCTCTTTATCTGGCTCCTACTTGTTCTTATTGTAGATGTATGCATTCTGACTTTTTCATTGTTTGTAACTGCAGATAAAGCTAAATTGAATTTCTCCCTCCTTGGAAGAGGACAGGTACAACTGGGTTATGGCAGCTGGGTCTTGCTATTAGAACATCAGAGCATGGTTACGCTTATTGGCCTGGCTTCCCATTTTCAAAGTAGAAGATTGAATGTCTGCTCTTACACACACCCTCAAGGCAATTACGATAGAGGGTCCAAATTAGAGATAGAAATCCTCCTAAAAACCCAGAAGGAACAGAATATAAAAACATTGCCTGACCTAAGGAGTCAGGGGATTGAAAGAATAGCTAGTGAGCTGTGGGGCTTGATCTGAACCACCAAATGTCCAAAAGAGGTCTAAAAAAGGAGTGACCATAGCACAGCATTGAGGTTGTTTTTTTCTCACCCTTTCTTGAATGGAACTGTGGAGACTTTGACACTGAAAGAATCAGTAGATGTAACTTTGGCTGAATGCATCCAGCAAAAAGAGCCCACCAGCTCCTTCAGGTATTGGCTGTACTGTCAAACTGCTCTTAGGTTGCTCCTAATATTCAACTGGAATCCATCCTTTTGTGGGCCCTGCCCTCTGGAGTGACAGATAACTGCTCTTGGTCCTCTTCTTTAGAGCAATAGGAGTTTGTCAGTCAAACAGGTGAAAATACATTTTGGAGGTAAAAGGATTATACCCCAAACCATGTAGTTTACTCACCTTAGAAATTTAGCAGTGGCTCTTGAGACCCAAAAATACTGTGTACATCTTAAAGCCCTTACTGTTGCACACCTTGAGTTTTGGGGCTCGCGCATCATTGAGGCGCCCAAAGGAGCCATGTTACAATGTCACCATACAAATGACGTGAGTTATGTAATTATTTCATATAATTGCTGATGTTACATGTCTAATGTTATTTATGGCTGAATTTTTGTGCAATCACTAAATCTTAGAGGATATATATAGAGGGTCTCTGTGTATATGTGAACCACAGCTATAAAATCCTCTTTCTATTAAGGAGGAATTTTTACCTCTTCCTTTCCCCCCCCCCCCCTTTCTTTCCCCAGGCTTTTTTTAACTGACTTTTGGTATGTTAGTTTTGCATAGTGCAGAATTTATTGTTGGGGTGGTTGCATGTTTAAATAAAATGATGGGTGAGATAGGCCCATCTATGTCTTTTAAGTAATTTTAGCCATCTATCTATCTATCTATCTATCTATCTATCTATCTATCTATCTATCTATCTATCTATCTATCTATCACATTTAAATAGCCACTCATCTCACACAAAACGACTCTGGGCAGCATACATTTTGAATTTGGGAAAAAAATAACTATAATGGCGAATATAGAATCTGGCTTCTGTCTGTGGAAGAAGCTTCTGCCAGAACCTCTGTCTGTTTAGTACAGTTCCTTGAATGTCAGAGTAATCTTTTTGCAGGGATGGGAGATGCGAATGTAGGAAAGTTAGCTTCTGCTAGCTATGTGGTACATGCTTCAGTGGGTCCAACTCGCTATCTTTTACATTAAAAAATCAGCATGAAATTCATTTTTAGGCTATTTGTTTCTAAAGAAATTGAGGATCGGTGAACATATGTCTCCATTTGAACTTTTGAAACAATTCCTGATGACACATTTTCATAACAGAGGGAAAATATTAATTGTTTTATAATATTGTTGGCTGGTTATGTAACTTAGCTGGTGCTATAAGAAATATAATTTGGTTGCTGTCAGCATGAACTATATTACTAACTTTGTTGTTTATTTATAATTGACAATAATATGTCCTACTTGTGTGTGTTTTTCCTAATTTCAGGACCTTGATTGTTACCAACCATTTGCTGAAGTGCCCCGAGTTGGTCAAAGCCCTCTATGCCAAACTGAGCAATCAAGAAAGGTAACCCCAAAAACCAGTGTGGGTTTTAGTAGTTAGCATACCATCTAGAGTATCCTGTTCACATGATTTGAAAAAAAGCGGTGTGGTTTTATAGTTGGCACAGGATCTCTAAATACATGTTTCTGTGTCAGTAATGGTTTTAAATTGGTTGGTTAACATTACAATTCAGCCACAACTGGCAAGGATTTAGATAGGAGTTGCAGAATCCAGGTTGGCGCCCTCGCTTTCTGAAGAAATGCGCAGGCTGGGAGAAAATGAAGACAAGATTTCGTGCTTTGGGCCCTGATTTCATAAGAGCATCGTACCCTGTTGTATTGAACGGCTCAACATAACCCCTCATTTCGTAGCTAGAGAGAAAAAACAAAACACAACAAAGCAAATATCTGCCAAATAATTTCAGATATCTTTAACCCTCCTGCCAAAAGAAGGGCAAGATGAGCACTTTTTCTGCCATCAGTCACGTCTCCTTAAAAACAAGCCAGCATATGAAATGAAATGATGGAGGATATGCAGCACTTTATGAATAGCGAAGTGAAGAAGATTAGAAAAATCAAACAGGATATTTTGGGTATCAGTAATGTACATGCTCTGCTAACATGTCTGACCTATTTTGTGGCAGTTCCATGCATTACAAAAAACATTTTTAATACGAAGCGTGGTATGGATCCTAGTCCTTATCCATTGGTATTGGATAATCATATATTGAAGGAATTAAATGGGAATCATGACTTTGGTTCAATAAGATGCACAGATTTTAACTAGGATTAACACATACTAGGAGATAACATGGATTGAAAATAAAAGCATCTTAACCTGAGCTATTTAGTGACTAGCTTCCAACCAGGGTTACTGTAAAGCATTGTTTGCAAACTCTGCCCAGATGATGGCTTTACTTCAGTTATGCAACATTAACTGTGGTAAAAACAGAGATCCTGAATGATGGATCTTACTGTCTAATACTTTTTAAAGTATCAACAATCCAGATAATTAAATTTTGAAAATGGTATGAAGATCTATAACATGCTTTTGTTCCTCAGTCTAAGCAGCTGTACCATACAATGTTGCCTGCACTGAGCACAGCTGCAGGCATGGGGTCTTATCTTTAAAATCCTGCACTGCTTGGGACTAGAAGACCTGAGAGCTTCCCTGGTCACGCTGTCCTGCCCATTCATGGTCATCTTCATCTGAGGCCTCCAGTGTGCAGTCAGAAAGCCTTCCCAACCAGGACTCCTGTGGAAGCCACGTCCCAGAGAGCCAGTTATACTGATTCCAAAGTTTATCTAGCCTGTGTGGAAACCTCCTTACCTATGCAAGATTCAACCATGGTTAAAGTTCTTGAAAAAGGAATTGGGATTAGCGCTATGGGCAGACTGGGACCAGCTTTGGAGCAGTCTATCTCATCCCCTGATGTGTTCTTAATGGTAAAGCAGGGGTTGGTTGCTAGTTCTGCAGCTGGTGCACTCCTGTTGCTTGCAATGAAAGGGAAAATATCCCCCTAAACAAGTCGAAACATAAAAGAAGGGATGGAAAACACTATTTTTCCTTTCTTCATGCCAGCACAAACCCAGAAGGGCCTTTGATGAAATGGTTTCTTCACTTCAGATCTCCCTACTGTGCTCGGTGGGATTGCTCTGTTAAAATATTTATTCTGAATTTTTAAAAAAAGTATCAGTATTCTCTGAATATTGGGAACTTTCTAACCACCACAAAAATTTCATCAGTTATAAATTTGCGGTAGCTCGTGTCTTTTCTGATGAATACTGTAGCCCCCAACCTTAATAGTTTGCTTAGCGTTAACCTGTAGATATCAGTGGTGCTTTTAGTGGGAAGCTGGATCTTTCAAACATTTTTTTTGGTAAACTTTCTGATTTCTTTCATTAAAACATTTACAACTTACTCTGCTAATTGCTTTTTTGTAGTTTGGATAATATTTGTATTTGTTGCCTGAAAGCTCTTCCTTAAAAATTACCCCAGTTCTTTTGATTTTTGCCTGGCCTATGCCTCTTTACGCTCCAGAGCTCCCCCAAAATTCTTAAACAGTCTATTTTTAACTATCCTAAATTCAGTAAAAAAGCATTTTTTGGAATCTGGCTCCCCATAAATCACTCTACTCAAAATGCTTATTGCCACTTGGTGTGGAGGGTGGCACAGAATATCTCTTCTATTCTATTGCCAGGGAAACAGAAACATATCTCTGTATTGCAATAAGAATGTCTAATCTGTTTTAGTACCCAAGAGCAACGATTTAGATATTAACTGAATGCAATTATTGTAGTGATGCCTGTACTGGGTGTCTAACTGATATGAAAAAAGGACTCTCTTAGCAACCCCACTGATGTTTGTGTTGGTGGAACAAGTTCTGAAAATTCTCTTTAATTTCTGTAACCTTTTCGACTACAGGATCATCAAATGGTTTACCATCCATTGTCAAACCATTGTATCTTCTCTTCTGAAATGCGATAAAAAGAACTCTCTGTAGTCATTTGCCCTTGCTCCGCATAGGGCATGCTTAAGCATTTAAGATGATATTGCCTTTAATGCTGCTGTTCTGAAGCTGACCTTACTGGTGATGGTTTCTTTGAGGAATTAAGCATGTATGGTTCTTATAATGTGTATTTGGGAAATAAAATACTTGAGGTTCTGAGATGAAAATCAACCAGTTTGCCATTACTTAATTATTAGTTTTTGCACGCTCAGAAGGGCAGTATCCCTGCAGTGTCAGTTTCTTTACAGTATCCCATTTGTTCTTATCAGGGCAATTTCTTACTCTAATATTCTTAAGAGAAGAGACCAAGCACAGGGGTTGCTTGTGCTGCTGAAGGTGGTGATGGTCTCTGATTGTCCTAGTTGTCACATTTTCTGGAAGCTGAGTCAAGTGTTTGAATTCATAGTTATTCATCAAAAAGGCAGTAAAAAAATTGCCCACTTTGTGAAGAACGACTGTCCTAGATTTGTCTTTATTTTCATAAAATGTACATGTTTAAATTTACAGGTTTAATCCAGTCCTTAGTATGGTCCTGTGCTTTATTCCCCAGGATTAACTTTACTGATGTCTGCAAATACGTAGGGAGATCCTTGAATGAGAGGATCTTGACACAAGTCCCAGTTATCTAAACAGACTTCCATCTATTGCCTGCTTTAAACACATTTTTTTCTTACTACTCCGAGTTGGGTCTAATATGATGGGTGAAAACGGTCAAACACTTAATACCTTTTGCTTAGTGATGCTTTTTAGAATTTGTGCCCTTGACTATATCTTCACACGTGCACACAGCCTTTCCTTCCAAGGGTTTGTCAGCTTAGCTCAGTGTTGTCCAAACTTGGCCTCTTTAAGATGAGTGGACTTCAACTCCC